GCAAAAATAAAAAAGATTTTACGTCGGCAAAAATCACACCCCGAGTACTTAGCTCGGTGTTGAAAAGGTACCGGGTGGAAGAGGAACGTCCTGTCCGCCGATCGTTCACAAAAGAATATGAGAAAAGGAAGAAGCGGCTTACGCGCGCAAGGTTAGGAACTTAAGCCTACCGGAGTAAGACGTTCCACCTTTAGCCCTTTAGCTCGTGGCGCCTTCGTGGATATTTACAACGTCGTCGCCCGGGTCCACGTTCGAGCGGAAGCCGAGGAGTGAGAAATGGTTGCGCCGACAATTAACTGAAATCACAGCGGGGCCAAGGCGGTTTGTCACTGTCTACACCCTCGAACCCACCCCGTGCCCTGCTGTTGCCGTTAGTAGTATCACTAATGCCGTACGTTGACTATTGTCGGCCAATATCGAGGAACCCACTCGAGGCCGTACTTTAATATCTCCATTTTTGCCCATTGAGATGTTTTTTAATAACACGTACAAATACTTGTGTGTTCTGAGTTGTGTGATTTTATGAGAAATACCATAGCCGTGAAATTACATAAATATGTTCGCGATTAACGAAAAAGCTTAACCTTAGGTAGGAATATATGCGGATCTTTTAGACATTCATCCAGTTATTGTCTAATGTATTCTCATTAATTAGATTGCGTAGGAAATAGACAAGAACTTGATAAGAGTTTTTATTAATTGGTTGAAGCAGTTTTCTTGGTAAAGATATGTACAATTCGTATATACATTTGTTCAGTTATTATTTAGTATATTAGTATAGATTATTAAAATAGATTATTAATTAAAATACTGATGAAAGTAAATAAAGGAAGAAAGAGTACGGTATTTCCTTCATATCTTTCGGCGTGAGAACGCCAGTGGCGCGTTCTCTTTGACATGAGCCTATAGCTGTGGAAACGTGATTAAGTAATTAAGGGATTTTTAATCTTGTCCCGGTCTCACCCTCGTTTTGACACCGGTCACGAGTTGGCGGAAGAATAAATAAACTCGAAACCGTTGCCGCTCACAGGAATTAAATCGCTGATGAAGAGCCCGTACCGCTCTTTTTCCGCCTCTTTATCTCGGCTCATGCAAATCAATACAATCCGTGATGTGAACCTATGAGCCTCGAATCTTCTTCTCGTCCATCCACCGTGTCTTCTTTTACATCTCAGTTCTCGTTTAATATATATATGGCTATTATTAAAAATATCCATTATTTTTCTCTGTGCATTTATTTGTTTGCTGACTGGCATCTTGGCCAAACATTAAATTTGTTTTGAAAAATTATTGAAATACGAAAATTATATAATCGTAATATGTAAGGTTTCAAAATCGTCTTCAGTTTATTTATCAAGTATTAATATATATCGAAATTATATATGTACTTAATATAGAGTTATAGAAAAGGAATAAATGTGTAATTTAATTACAAAGATAAAACTCGAACAACATATTGACGGTAAATTTGCAACACATATAGTAAGTCGATATCTATTTTTGTCTGTAATCGTGGATCAGTTACACGACTGATGATTCCAAACAAAGTTCCCGCAAGGACTTGTCGGTTAAACGCGAGGGTGACTCCAGTGAAGAAGAGCGAACAAAACCTGAGTGGAGTCAGGGCAAAGAGAAAGAGAGGAGAATTGAGAAGAAGCGTGTTTGGTTACAAGCAGCGAGACATTTATCCTCGCCCTTTTAGCATTGCTCTGTTCAACCGCCCACGTGTATGTATCGAGTGAGTCGTGTACGGTGCTGTAGTTGAACCATAAAATAATCCGACGATCTTTCGTTATTTTTATTTTTACAACTTCTATAAATACGTAATTGTAATAATGTTTCTCATCACAGCAGAAATTACACTGAGCTTAACTTTCTCTTTTTGCAAAAAAGTGATAAATGTAGATAATTTTAACATTTTTTTCCGGTTCTCTAATATACGAAAGCGTGTATCAATTGGAAAACATCAGCATATATAATTCTGTAACGTATAACGTTATCTACAAAGTACTTCTTTATTAATAAACATTAACAAATAATAGACGACAGTGCTTTTATCGAGACGTTACTTATCGAACTTTTTGTTAGTTGAATAATCTAAACTAGTTAGATATTATATGTATGTGGCTACAAGTTGATCAGTCTTCTATGAAAAAGCAAAATGGAACAGAGAAGGTAGACCTTCTCACGTGCCTTCGCTGGTCCTTGCTCCGAAATCGCTCTCGATTCCGTCGTTTTCTAACATTTGACAATTATTCGGTAATTTATCAAAGCGTTCGCGCACAATGGCCCGGTACGAGAGCAATCGAGAAACGGCTCTGCCTTTGTGAGTCTCGCACGCAACACGGTGTCTGCGAAATACTCATCCGCGAGGTGCTGAAATTTTGCAATCTCTATAAACAGTATTTGATATTCAACCATTCTTAAGAATATATTAATAAATTTTACTTTCAACGACAAAAAAACAATTGTCTCTAATATTCATAATAATTATATGCCAAAATTTTATTGCAAATTTTAATCTTATATATCTATCATCACGTTGAATGGTTCCATAATAATGATGGCAAAGAAATTTAATATATTTTTTTATAATTATGTTATAAATATGGTTTAAAAAAAAATACTCTCTCTCTCTCTCTCTCTCTCTCTCTCTCTCTGTGTGTGTGTGTGTGTGTGTGTGTAACGTTA